ATAGGGCTGATGAACCGTACAATAATAAAGTTACGCTTTACCTTATATCCTTGTTTATAGATAGATAAGAGACAGATTCTTGTTAGTTGTTTTAAGCTACCTTTAAGGTTATAAAATGTACTTACTAACTTGTACCATTATTTCATCTAACACGTTAAATCTTCTACTCACCCTATGACTGCATTTTAATTGGTTAAAATAATAGTGGCATAGAACAAGTTAATTTATGCGATAAAGAATAATTTAGGGTTGACGAGCTCAAGGTCAGAAAACTTATTCACTCATAAATATTTACAAGTTACGATAAATTATGTGTCAACCCTAGATACTGCCGCACCCCGCATCGTAAACTACACGGTCGCCGGTTCATCGGCCGCCGCTATTCCTATATCTATATACCTACTTGTATGTAATCATAACTAGAAATATTCAGCACATACAATCTCTGATGTTTACAATCGTGGTTATGAAATATTTATAAATACTTGTATTGGTACATTTTTAATATACGTACACTAGCGACTAACTTAGGGTTGTCTCTGTTTAGAACAATAATTATAAAATGAATTTAACGAAATGTTATGGTTAACAATTCTAACATTAAAATAGAATTTCATTTAGGTGTAAAAAAATAAATTTAGTATATAAAGTGATATGCCTTAAAAAAAAGCGGACTGAAACATTCACAATTAGGATTTTCACTTTGGTTTAACTATTGTAAACACTAGGTAAGAATTTTTAAAACACCATTAGCATTTGTGGTATTACGCAAAACGTTGCAGAAAATCGTATTTTTTAAATAAGAACAAGTAACAATTTTCCAACCAATTTAACACACTCGCAGTTAAAACAGCATTGTTTTCTCAAAGTTAGTAGGAGCTACTTCGGCTATAAAATATCGTTCTAACCACAGTTTGGTAAGCGCTCCCCTACCACGAAACTTTTCAGCCTCATAAATTCAAATCCGTTCTCTGCTTTACATCTTTACAAACTTCCTGAATTCGAGCCAATAAGTGAATTTGGTTTCTTTTTGTTTTTTAACATTTACTTTATGGTGATTATTTTTCTTGGGATGCCATTGTATTTTTTAGCTTTCCAAAGTATTTTTTACTTGGTATCATTTGTCTTTATAAAGTAACTGTAAAAAATGTCAGTGCAGAAACAATCAAGGAATCTTATTAGAAGGGAATAAGGATATACCAAAAATTCCATCTACAAATTATTTTACTATTATGTATGACTAGATTACGACCGCGACTTCGTTGTCTTTGAAACTGGAATGAAAAACAATTAAAGAAAGCTTCTAAGTATTGAATTTTGCGGTACACCCCCGATACCATCTAATCGTGAAACATCTGATCTAAAAGCAATATCATAGAATTGATTATCATTTTCCCGTAACAGGCGATAGAAAATGTAATTCAGTTGTTTTTATCTATCATAGGAGATAAAGGTAATTTTTTGTAGTCTTCACAGTGACGTGTGTTCGTTACACTAGGTTTACACTGCCTTATTCAAAAAGGTACAGGTATCTAAGTCATTTTTCTATAAACAGAGATAACAATGTTTTAGTACAGGTATTTTGTCAGTAGAAGCCCACGTTTAAATTATCATCGACAAGTTAGTTAATTGTTCGCATCCTGACAACGTTAATTAACACGATAAAACCAGTCGACGCTCGTTATAATTTCAAAATTATTTCAGTTCCTTATTAACCCCAATTTTTGATGTTATGTTTGATATCACGTGAAGGTTTTATAGCAAATGTTTTAAATTTTAATCTCCACCACCAAAGTTAAATTTTACATTGTCGTGCGTAGAATTAATCTTAAACTAAAGATTTTCAACATTACCTAACAATAGACAGGAAAATACGAAGCAAAAATTACAAGTCTAATTTGACACGCCTAGATTCAATTGATTTTTCTTTGCTACCAAAACTTCTGACAAGTATTATTTGAACATTTTTGTACTGAGTAAATATTGGTTGAAATAATTTCTTTTACTTGTGAAAAAATGTCCATCTTGTATGGTATCGATGTACGATGACGTCACTTAGCCTCCATTGTTCTGAAGCGTTCAAGAAGCAGCAAGGAAATAGTTCAGTCCAATTTTATCTGTCACTGCGGAATAGATTAATTGGTTACAGACGTTCCAACACTAATGGCTTTTAAACTAGAATTTCTTTAATTTGTTTTTTTTTTTACAATCTTAATTGAAGTTTCTATTAATAAAGTTAAGGGCAAGGTGACAGATTTCGTAATTAATTCAAACATTAGAAATAAAAAATAAAAAAAATAGATTCCAAATTATTCACACAATTTAAGGTTATGTTTATAAATGTTCTAAAGAACAATATTGCCAAATAATGGGCATTAAATACCTGTTAGCCTAATTATTTTTCAAGTAATAATTAATTAAATCATACTTTATACGATGTAAGAGTTTAAAGCTTAAACGGCTGAATTAATCTCGATGAAATTTGGTATAGATGTAGAGCATAGTCTGGAAGAACACGTAGGCTACTTTTGTGTTTTTTTTTTAACGTCCGCGCGGACGGAGTCGCGGGCGGAAGCATGTTAATAATATAATTTTTATACGGTACTTTTTAAATGTTTCTTTGTGTTGATCGAGCCTGACAAAGAAAGTAAACTTTTTATCGAGTGATGTTAATAAATTTTTTAATTTTTAAAAATACACAAGCGCCGGTTGACTCAGGTTCCCAATTCACGGGGCACGTTGATTTTTTATTGCGGGTGTAATTTTAACGCGCTCGCCCGGCTGTCCGATTACGCGTAACATCACTGTTTACCGGCCGTTCGCCCGATTTATCGATAATAAACTCAATCTGACTCCAGTTACTCGGCGAAGGGTTTAAATAATTATTTATATCGACATTAAATTACGATGGAACATCACTACAAAGGTTAACGTTTTCGCGTTTGGTTTTTGTCTGGTATACTTGAGTTTATAAGTTTTGACTCTGTCAAGGAATCAATCACAGATTTTGATATATTCTGTTGTTCTCTTTCTCTCTTACTTCTGTACATCGTCTTCTCATCTCAGTCTTATCTTAAAGTTTTCCTTCCGAGATATTTCTCTCTATATCGTTCCTTCATTGCAGTCTCGACCGCAACTTTAATAATCCAAAATCCTTATTTCTTTCGTACAACTATGCTTTATTCTTATTATAGTAGTAAAAACCGAGCACTATAATTAGAGAATTATTTGAACTGTCTGGTCTAAAACAATTTAAACGAAGGTCTTATTATTTTCATCAAGTTCTTCTATAAATAAAATAATCAATGTAAATAATTAAACATCGTCTGTAACCCTGATCAATAACGTGGAGGTGACAGTAGACACGAGTCCTTAAAATATCAAACTGTCATATCATTTTAGTGACAGCTATAATAACTATGCCATTATCGTCACTACCACGGTGTCTGTAGCCACTATTTAATGTCGCGACATATACCATGAATTTATTCCGTCAATATTTCTATGAAAACTGTCAAAACGGTAGCAATTCTAACGCATTTATCTTGGCTCAAATATGAGAAAGTTCTAGATGTAAGATAAAAGATAAGTGGTACCGGTGCGTTCCACTGGAGATTCCGGGAACCTCAAATCGCACCTGAGGACGGCCACCGGGGGGGTTTTAGTTTCGAAGTTTTCTCCTCCGTTAAAAAAAAAGATCTTAGATGATAACAGAATGACCATCTTTCATAAAATATGTTTGAATTTTGTTTCGCAAATCGATAACTGAAGTCTGCGATGAAATTATTTTTAGTAACGATATGGGGCCAAGTTTGAATTGTTAATGCTCTTAGTTCCGTGATCGATAGGCAACCCTTAAAGCAATAGAAACTGAAATGTAATAGATAGGTCTTTTGCATTGAATGTACAACGAGGATAAATTATTGTTAGGGATAAAGGCATTAATATGATAAAAATTGATTATATCGTTTCAGTTGGTTGGTTTCTTACAATTATTAAGATATTTGTAAGAAAATGTTGCGACTGTCCACTCTATAACTTGTTTGAATATCTTTAATGATAAAGTTACAGCCTCTATTGTAATGAACAATTTTTAAATATCTATTTGTGTACACTAACACGATGTTGCGGTTAAACATAAAATTCATAATGAAAAATGAATTTACCCACGCCTCTGAGTAAAACGTACAACGGCTCTACGGTTTACGGTTATAGATCTATTCGCGTACTTCCTGCTTAAGACCCTGTTTTCACTGTGTGTTTGAGCGCATACGACTGTTTATATGAGTAGAATATAATTTCCTAAAGCATGACTACTGTTGGTAGGATAAACAAACGCGCGCGGATAGACGTTTAATGGAAATAAGTCAACTAAATAACGTTTTTCTTTTCTTATAAGAAAGATATGTTTTCTATAGATCAAAATACGTTTGTTTTGTTTTGTTGACCTAAATTAGTTTTCAATAAAATGATCTTTGTAAAACAATGTTTATTATGAATACAAAACATCAAAGTAGTGCATTACACTCAATTGTCGGCCATTACAACCGCGCCCGTCTTATTTCGCGTAAACACTTACGCACAAAACAATAAACCATCCAGTTTAGCTCATGTTTGTCCGCTTGTTTGCGGATGTAGTTTATTGAACCCGGACTTTGTAATTTGACTCTAATAATAAATCGAAGAAATGTGTGAAAACCCACGGTTATTTTTAGATGTTATGATTTACTTCCGTACTCAGTTGTGCACTAACAGACTTATGCTGGGTTTCTGAAGTTTCAATTTATTTTGTCATTAAATATTTGACCTGTTTCAACAGAGTAAAACTTAAGTTACGGAGTTCGGAAACACATTTAATGAATTTATCGAACCAAAACACTAAGGAAGTCAATCGTAGCTGAAAAACCGGCTATCTATGCGCTTACTAACTCTGTATTTGCTAGTGAAAGTTTATGTTGAGTGTAAAATCAACCTAATGGTGTTTTTTTCTTTGTTTGCAGGTCTTAGCGGTTCGAAGGCGGACCAACAGCACAGGCGAGAAGTGTTCGGTTCCAATTTAATCCCGCCGAAACCTCCTAAAACCTTCCTTACTCTGGTTTGGGAGGCGTTACAGGACGTCACGTTGATCATCCTCGAGGTGGCCGCCGTTGTCTCGCTAGGATTGAGTTTCTACAAACCGTCCGAAGATGAGAGCGATATTGGTTAGTTATACGTTAAGTAACGTACTTAGCTTAATATTTAAACTAATTAACTCCGCCCTCAGATTTAAGCAGTACTTGCTTATAGTAAATCACTATTAACCTTAGTGTGCAATAAACGTCTTTGAGTTCGACTTATTTCTCAAAGATCTTACTATTCCATGTGCAAAAACCATTTTATAGTCACTACATATAAGTTCTTCGTCCGTAAATCCTACCAAAGCGAACCCTATTTGATGGCTGAACGTGACGAAAGATTGGAGAGTCGTAAAACAGCACCCCCGAGCCAAGCAACCCTCAACTTATTACACGATGGAAATCGAAGGAAATTAGCCCCGGGCTGCTTTTTGCTCGGACTTTGTCGGAAAAAAATATTTTCTTATTAACTGACTTAATGGGAAATATTACATAGCGATATTTATTAAGAATTTATAGATAAATAATTGAAGTTTTCTTTTTTTAATCTCAATTTCATGAAGATTATCTTGTAGATTATTGTAATGATAAGGGAGTAAATACATTCGATATTGTATACTAAGGAAATAACGTCAAAGATGTGAACTTCTAAAGGGTTAATAAATTCGGTTGTGCCAACTTCAGATCCTATTCTGATCCCTTGTTACGTTTCCACGTTTATAGGAATCAATTGGTTACCTATTGTTTCCTGTAAGATAATGAAAGGAAAACGAATTGTACTATTTATATCTATAAAATGTGAACCTATAGTATATTTATATATGTAGCGTATTTTATACATAAATGTGTTGTGTTTGTGAATATTTTTAGGTATATAACCTTTTTTTAGTATGCAAGTAATTTAAGGATATCAAAATTTAACCTTTTTTGCATTAAGATATAATTAATAACATATTTTCTCTTTTCAATAACAACAGTAGATGAAATTGGTAAGAAAGTTGTATTATTTAGAGAATTTTAAACACCTACCTGCTCGTTTATGATCGTGTACTCAAGATCATTGAAATTGTCTTTGTTATACTAGATTTTTCCAAATTCTGTTTTTTTATTTAAAATGCAACTAAAACTATTTAATGTGTTTAATTGGTATTTAACATTATATTTCTTTTTATTTATGTTATGGTACTTCGATCGTTAAGTTAAGGTAAATTCAACAAAGTTACCTAACACTGATAAAATATTAATTGAAATTTTAAACAAGGTGTGGTCGCTACTTGGTAGTCGCCGTCTTTCTGCACATAAATGTAAGTGAATTGCAGTTCTTTAAATATTTGAACTTCCAGCACTTTCTACAAATAGTTTATTCAGAACAATGATTTAATATTGAATTGAAAGAAACCTTGATCTAATTAATTAAATGTATAGGTCATAAATATATGCAAATTATAAAGATTCTAGCGTTCGCCCGCGACTCCGTCCATGAGGAATAAAAAAAAAACAAAAGTGAGTAGCCCATGAGTTCTCCAGACTATCCTCTACATCTATACCAAATTTCATCCAAATCCGTTTAGATGTTTAGGCTAGAAACTCTAACAAACATCCATCTAAACTTTCGCATTGATAATATTAGTATGATTTCATTTTTTTAACTCTGTCGATAAAGCGTTTTCTATAATAAAATTATAAAGAGGGCACATTTGTATTTTTGTATGTATTGAAATATTTCAAAACTACTAGGTTGATTTCAAAAATTCTTTCAACATTAAAAGCTATGTTATCAATGAGTAACATAGGCTATTTTTTTATTATTTTTTACTTGTTTTATAAAGATCGAAGTACCATGATATTAGGGCATGTTTAGTTGCTTGACTTGAGTATACGGGCCCTGTTAGCACGTCGTGATAGCGTGTCTGCTTGCACGTATTACACGGCGGTAATTTAGTTGTTACGTTTTGTCCATCTGTGTGTTTAGATTGTTTAGATTTATTTAATAAATAAAATATAAATAAAGCATTAAATAATAAATTAATATGTTAAATAAATAAATTAAATAGTGTTCATGTGAATTTTGATGTTTGTTTAGTAATTACTGTTTAGATAAATACACATTTGTACAAGAAATAAATTTACTGTCAGAATTTTAACTAGCATTGCTAACTAATATATCTAAAACGTGTCTACGCAATCAAAACAATAGTATGAAACATGTATTCCTCTGAGGAACATATTTTAGTTTTACGAACTGTTAGGATGCCTCATGACATGTCTAAAATATGAGATAAAATCTCACATTTAGTAAACACCACTGTAATTGTTTTGATATGGCTCATAATTACTTAGTACACAACCACACTTTTTGGTTCTTTAAACCCAATAGTTTACCACTGCTTACCACAATTCAACTGATAACCGTAATAATTGAGTTTACAGTAATGCCTTTATTAATGAAAACTCACTGTAATGAATGACACTCCAAACTAATTACGGACATTAAATCCTATAACACCTTCGTATCGGGGTCAAATTGCCCCAATGTGTCATAATTGAATACCTCTCGCTCACACTCCATACGTGTGAAAGAGATAGCATCCATTAGCCGTTCATAGGCGTAATCTAATTAAGAAGAGTGTGGCATATCTTAATGCGAGTATCACTAAATAATATAGTTTAATGACTGTTAATAGTTACAAAAATAAAAAAAAATAGTAGCTAGCTGGTTTATCTATTAAGGCACATAAACACTGAAATAATAGATAACAAACACGTTCTCTCACCCGAGTTAATCCTTCTTTAGTTCTTTCTGCTAGTCTCTTAAAGATCGTAGAGTTAAATAAACTTTTAGACCTGTTTGTAAAACAAACAAACATGATTGTTAGTTTCTGATATTAGTGTGCGCCAGAAATTTTTAGCTCTGTTACATTAGTTATTCTATTTTTTTTATTCGCGTAATTTAAAAACATTTGTTAAAAATTTCAGGTCATTTGGACGAAGAGGAAGGACACTACCAATGGATAGAGGGTCTGGCGATCTTAATATCTGTCATAGTTGTTGTTATAGTCACTGCATTCAACGATTACACGAAAGAAAGACAATTCAGGTGAGTTCTAATACAGTTTCTAAGTTAATCTGATAAACATCAAAGCACAAACTAAGTAGACATGCGGAATTACTTATAGAATTATTTCTCTACTTCGTATATCGTAAATGTGCAAATCGTCTTCTACAGTTTAGGCTAGTAAGGCTACCAAGAATTGAGCCACTATTTGACATTTCCATAAAATGCAAAATATCTTTCAATAGTGGATTTGTAAACGATTAGCTATCGTCCGCGACCCCAATCGCGTAAAATTAAATAAAACAAACGCTAAAAGTCTCTTCCAGACTGCTCTACATCTATGTCAACTTCCATCCATTTAAACTTTAGTATGTGTTGCTAACTGTCTGAAATGACGTTGTTTTATTGTAAATTTCAGAGGGCTTCAATCAAGGATAGAGGGTGAGCACAAGTTTGCGGTGATCCGCGGCTCTGAGGTCAAGCAGGTTCCCATCAGCGAGATCGTGGTGGGCGACATCTGCCAGATCAAATACGGTGACTTGCTGCCTGCCGACGGCGTACTGTTGCAGAGTAACGACCTAAAGGTCACAACACCCTTTATGACACCCTGTATATGTTACCGATAGATCTTGAATATCGCACATTTGTAATTTCCCAGTGCTAAAGGTGGAGTTAGCAAATTGTAAATTAAATTGATTTATGTTCGCACGGCAGCTATAAAATGATTCGACGACTTATCTGATTCGGATTGAACTTATTTATAATAGCTGTCCCAAAAAGTGATGTTGTCGGATTGTATGTCATGTCTTGTCTTATATGTTATTACAAATAGTATATTGAATCATAAGGTGGCAAACGAGCAAGCGGCCACCTGAATCCGCTCAAATTTCGAAGCGAATACTCAGAGATCTCCGTATAAAAGACGCGTTGCCTACTTTTAATACACGAAGGAGACGCATATAAAGTAGATATTCCCCCTTAGTATGCGTCTCCACCGTCAAATCCACTTTCCCTTCCCAACCTTATAAATGTGGAGATGAGAAGGGACTAAAATTAGGCCTCCAGCACGGATAACTCTAACTGTAACATAAACGTTGTGTAGACAGCGGTCGATTACAACCGTATTGATGACGCACGTCGATGTATAAATGTGATTAGCTATCGCTACCTGACGGCCGATATCGCCGCGCCCATTGCTCAGATAACGCTACTTTAAATTGAAATTTAAACTACCAACCACTTGAAGTCGTCGTATAATGACAGGTGTCGCGTGTTACAAATTGTATACAAATGTCATAAGAAATTGATTTTTTAAATATTGACACTGGACTAATACGTTTATTTAGACTATCGTATCACTTTTGGAAAGAATACACGAAAGGATTACATTGAAGATATACAAGCACAGTAATATATCTTACTAGCTGTTCCCATGCGACTTCATCCGCATAGAATTATAAAAATGTCAAATTATCAATTGCAAATGTCAAAATGAGATGAACTTCGGCAATCATGCTTCCTTGATGTTGGCAGCAACTTAAGATCTCTTTCCCACATTAGGGTTCTTATCCAAAATATTTACCCCCTAAGTTTAATAGCGTGAAAATATATAGCCTAAAGCGCGACGTAAGTGTAGGGCTTTTTATTAAATAAATAATTATTCAAAAATATGCTGTAATAGCTGAGATGTTAGGCAACAAAGAAGTGTGTGTTTACGTTTTATTATAATATATCTTATTTATAGACCTACAAGGATATATGATGCTGTAGATAATAATTAAATTATGCTCACTAGCGTCCTCAGGTCAATGTCAAAAATTGACACAAGATTTCGTACTGTAGCTATCATGTTTCTCGTATACTCGTAGAACTAGCCATGATAATTGCCCTCTCATCGGGCTAAAAAACCCTCTTTTACTGTAAATCAGGCAGTCATCTTTAAAGTATTAAAAGTGGTGACTTAAACGGTTATTTACATTATAAAGTGCTAATTAAATAACATTCTGCAATAGTTGTCGCAACTAGCAACACAAACAAACGTTATCAAAGATTGAGTAACTTTGACGTCACTGCAGATGGAACGATATCGATAAGCAAAACGAAATTACATTGCATTCCAGTTTATTCTTATTAATATGTATTGTAAATACTAGAAACAGCGTTTTACTTTAAGCGCCTACAGCCTAATGGTTTGGGTTACGGATTACCGATCTTGATGTCGAGGGTACGAAACCCGCCATGCGACTATTGTCGTGAACCATATCCTAGCATAAGCCTAGAGCTTAGTTGGAATGGTTAAAGGAAATATTAGTAAATTAACAAAAATCTACTAATGTTTTTAATAAAAAAAACCTACGAAAGCTAATAATTCTTAGATAAATCTTAATAAAAATTAGATTTTTTGTTATGATTTTGATGTATCTCATTTTTGTCTCACTAATCAAATATCGGGTTAGTCAAATATCTTTGTGGATTTACATTGTCTCAATGCTGGTACAAAAACATGACAATGCTATACTGATAATCCTCTTTAGAAAACCAGAAGTAAATAAGAAACAGAAGACAGTGTACACCGCATTCGAAAATTATTTAAATCAAGTGTATAAAAACGGCAAAGGGTTCGATTTTTTTTTATTTTTAATCCGTACTCTCTGCCGACCTCTCACAGTTATGGGTGTGAATATAAATTAATATTGAAGTAAATGTATGGTGATTTCAGATCGATGAATCCTCGCTCACGGGGGAGTCTGACCATGTCAAGAAGGGTGAATCTTTTGATCCCATGGTGCTGTCGGGTACTCACGTTATGGAAGGTAACCTTTTTTATTACTTTTAAGACCAAAAGACTGCATGCTATATCGTCTGCTGAGAATTAAAAAAAAACTTAGTAATAAGCCTATAGGTTCATTCCTATTAAGTTCTGCATTTGTACAAAATTTCATCGGAATCCGTAATGAAGATAGATAGTAACGTCCTTACAAAAACATCCATACATACAAAATTACGTATTTATAATATTAGTATGATTTTTTGATAAAAACATTATTTATTTACCTTGTATCTGTTTTATTGATTGAGTAGTTTAAATTTTTAATAGATTTCGAGATTTCGACGTCTCCCCCTTTGTTATTAGCTTTGGAGGAGGTAAAGTCCTTAATACCAACACTTTTAAGCATTGCTTAAGTTGCCCTTAAACTACGCTAAGTGGTATGCTGGAATAAAACGTATGTTTTATTTAATTCAACCGATTTAATTTTCAATTCCAGGGTCGGGTAAGATGCTGGTGACGGCTGTAGGTGTGAACTCCCAGGCGGGTATTATCCTCACGCTGCTGGGCGCGGCCGTGGATAAGCAGGAGAAGGAAATCAAGCAGATGAAGAAAGGTCAGTTATCTCTCCGTTGTGTGCTGCAGTAGCATAGTGATGTCCCCATTAGTTGGTTGGATATCCTCTCTGTATACTTAATTGCAAAAATAATGTTCTATTTTTTATTTTTACTTACACTGTTTTTATAATAGTTTTGTTTAAATCAGAAAAAAGGTTATTTTATTGATAAAAGATGTCTCTATTGGTAAAAGAAATTTTTGGGTTAGTCTAAGTTAGAATAAGCAATAATTTGTTCTTCAATAAAGATAGTGTAAGGTTAGTGTTTTTGAAATTAAAAAAAAAAACAGAAATGATATCCAAATAGTTGAAACTTGCAAAATCTAGTTTAGTGTTGTTCATTTATATTATGCTCATTTGGTTATATCGATATTTACTAAAATCTTTTACTTAAAAATGTCTAAATTACAAGATAAATTAGACTCTAGTGTCTATTGTTTAAAGTTTAAATTTGTTTTAATCTATATGAGCATAGTAGTGTCCGATGCTTAGTTGCATATTTAGTGTTACCACAAGAAGAATGAAATTATATCCCCTTACCATGAGCCATTGCACATTAGGGATGTTGAAATGACAACGAAACTGGTAGAAAAAAATATAAACTCAATCATACAGATTAAAAATGAATGTTGAACACTGTTTAATCTATTTAAAAATGTCATCTAGATAGATATCATTTGTTTTTTATTAAAAAAAAGTTACTCCGATCACTTAATTTTGGTCCATTACAACAAAGAATAATTTTCAATATCGTTATAATTATGAATTAACTTTGAATTAATCCCTGAAATTGCATTTAAATGCATATTTGTGAATTTATTGATGTTACTAGTCAAAATGTTTTTATGGACTTCTTATATTTCTACCAGTTTCGTTTGTGGATATGAGATTATTTTATAGTTGGATTTGGAGGTTTTGGTCCGTGTTTCGGGTACTGGTGATAAATGTTAGTCGTTGTTCGTATTGTCTTTGTGTTTGACTAATTGCCTGTCTGTGGGTAGCATGGCGTTCATAGCCCCCTCTAGTGTCTGTTAGAAATAAGTAACCCCTCACATTATAAAATAATCTCGTTACATCCATTTTTTAAATATTCCAAAAACTGTAAAGTGTATGCCCCTAAAGCATAGTCAATGCAAGTTTAGTCCTCGATCGGACACTTATGGCCATAAATAATGAGTCATTTTTATTAAAGGACATAATTGATCGATCGTTATCCAAACCCTTAGTATTAGCAACCGACATTCGTCTAGTGTGAATCCATTAAAGACATCCAAATTTTTTTTCTCCACCCCCCGACCCTGGCCCGCCGCACCCCACATCCATGCCGACGATGAAAAATTAAACAAACAAATTAAAAAAAAAATAAACATACACATTTAAACTGCATCGTATAACTGTTGTCTATGGTGCATGATGTAAAAATGTTACCCAACGGTCTCCGTTGAATGTGTATGGCTTTTTATTGGAATGAAAAAAAAATCGACAATGGATTACGGGAATTATTATAGAAGCTAAAAAGCAGCAACGCAAGGGGACACAACGCAAGAGCCTTACCGGTAAGTACTCCTTTGCTACGACCCGCTTACGTCCCGTACACTTGGGGCCAGATATGTACCGCTTAACATTTAACCGACGCTAACGCTAGCTTACAAGCCTAATTTGTGAACATTATTCTGTCCTTAAGTGTACTTAATGCATTATGAATTTCCGTCATGAGATTTTCATACGATTAGAAACCCTAAACCTTTAACTTAAGATGCATTTTGACTATTTTGTCTATGAACTAATATTTTATTTAGTTTCAATGTGAAAATAACAATTTCACGTTTGATATTTTAGTATTTGCATCCGTTTTAGAATTAATGACTGATTTGAAGGAATAAATAGATAATACGTAAATATAAATAATTTGCTTTTAAATATCTCTGCATACCCCTAAAATCTACTACATTATCTGCATCTTTCTAATAAAATAAAATCTTTTATTACTTAATATACAAATTTTTCGTTTCTTGTTTGGTACAAATATTACTGTAGAACATAAAATTTATAAAGTTTAGATTAGTAGGTACAATAATTAAATTTTTTTTACAAATTTAATCTAAATTTAAAATAGTCACTAGTATTAGAATTTGGAGTTATTAGATACAAATTACAAGTTGAGTTAAAAATTAAGTATTTAGTGTATTCGGTAATTTTTTCTCTAAAATTAGTGAAACGTTAGCATTTTAACTATAAAATTAGTAGATTTTATTCCGAATTGGTAATTTAGCTACGGACTAATGTACCAAACAAGAAGGAATCTTCTAGAACATTCTGTAACGTGTAACATGTTAGGTGATGAAGACGCGACGCTGGCCGCGGGCAGCAACAGCCACGGCGCCAACCACCGAGAGGACAATCACGTGGCGCCGACAGACAAGCCTGCGGAAACTGGCCATAAAAAGGAGAAATCGGTTCTACAAGCCAAGCTGACGAAGCTTGCCATACAGGTAAAGGTCCAAATATCTTGACCCAATCGTACGAAACGCGCATTTCGCAATATTCTAAATCTTTGTTGGGTATTCAACAGATTATTCTCCAAATATGTGACATCCATCTATCAAAACTTTAATATTTTATTTTTATTTATTTACATATAGGAAAAAACATTAAAAAATTTACAAATAAAAATGTCGCCAAACTGCATAGCAGTTTGTTGACGACAAGCACCCATTTCTTATAAATATACCTTAATGTATACGTTTGTTTTCCAGATCGGGTACGCGGGCTCCACGATCGCGGTGCTGACGGTGATCATCCTGGTGGTGCAGTTCTGCGTGCACACGTTCGTGATCGACGGCCGGCCGTGGAAGGCGACTTACATCAACAACCTGGTGAAGCATCTCATCATCGGTGTGACCGTGCTGGTGGTGGCCGTGCCCGAGGGACTGCCGCTCGCTGTCACATTGTCACTTGCCTACTCTGTTAAGGTAAGGTCTGGTCACTTATGGCCGCATACTCTGTTATGGTAAGGTTCATTGGTCACTTATGGCCGCATACTCTGTTAAGGTAAGGTTAATTGGTCACTTATGGCCGCATACTCTGTTATGGTAAGGTTCAATGGTCACTTATGGCCGCATACTCTGTTATGGTAAGGTTCATTGGTCACTTATGGCCGCATACTCTGTTATGGTAAGGTTCATTGGTCACTTATGGCCGCATACTCTGTTTTGCGAAGGTTTGACGGTGTTGATCTTAACAACTAGCGTTGTTTGAATGTTTTGTACGATTTGAGACACGATAAAGTAACCCACGTTACGCTTTTTTGTCAAATTGCCAGTACGAAAAAAAAATATTTAATCGTAATAATTGTTTTTTGTTATAATCTTATAGAGCAACTTACTGCTACCGTATTAATTATTTATAAGAAATCGGAATTTATCTCGTAACAATACCGTGGATTTCCACAACTATATATGTAACAATTTTATTTTCAGAAAATGATGAAAGACAACAATCTAGTGCGTCATTTGGACGCGTGTGAGACAATGGGCAACGCGACAGCGATCTGTTCCGACAAGACCGGCACTCTGACCACCAACCGTATGACAGTTGTGCAGTCCTACATCTGTGAGAAACTGTGCAAAGTGACGCCCAACTTCCGCGATATTCCAGCCGATGTCGGCGAGACTATGGTCGAAGGGATTTCTGTTAATAGTGCCTTTACTTCCGGAGTTATGGTACGTTTCATGTAATATTGAAAATTCCAACTTTGATATCGATTTTTTTTAAGATCTAATTCCAGTCATGTTTACTGAAACCTATCGAATAATTGCCTTGTGTACAAAAGTTAACACACTTAACTAATATTAGCCGATTTCTGTTTTTAAATACTAGATTTTTGTTAATTCACTAATACAAGGAAATATTAGTTCCATTCCAACTACGCTGGAAGCTTGTGCTAGGATATAGTCCACGACAATAGTTGAATAGTGGGATTCGAACCCTCGATCCCAAGATCGGTAGTCCGTAAACCATTAGGCTGGTATGATTGCTTGATTATACGGCTTGTTCCTTTTACCTAACCAAATGTACCTAACCAGTTACATTAGGTTGTCTTGAAATCGATATCTGATCGTTTTAACATGGGATTGATGGCATAAAGTTGGCAAAGTATTTTAGCAAGTCAAGTCATTTTATGTAGTTGTTATTTTAAATTCCAGTCATTTTTAGTCAATTTAGACATGTAGTAATTTTATAAAGCAAAACTGTAATATTAAAATATAAAAACTAAATAAGCAATAAGAAAACTGTAAGATGTTCGAAAGAGAAAAATCTAATAAATAAAGAGTTCCCTCCTGCACCCAAGGGGGAACGAGAGGGCGGTATAGAGCCGCCCATAAGCAAGAAAAGTTAGCAAAGTGTACCCACTCTAGCACAAAAACTTGACTGGTTACGGGAACGGAAAAATGTTTGTTACCTAACTGGTTAGGTTAATTTGGTTAGGTAAACGTAACAGGCAGATTGTACGTTTCTTATTGGATTTTATTTGTGTCCAGCCGGCTCAAGACCCGACCTCCCCGCCGGTACAAATCGGCAACAAGACGGAGTGCGCGCTGCTGGGCTTCGTGCTGGCGCTGGGCCAGAGCTACGAGGCGGTGCGCGAACGCAACCCGGAGGAGTCCTTCACGCGCGTCTACACGTTCAACTCCGTGCGCAAGAGCATGTCCACAGTCATACCGTACAAGGGCGGGTACAGGCTCTACACTAAGGGAGCTTCCGAAATTGTATTGAAAAAGTAAGGATTTTATACTAATAAGCGATTTTTTAACTTAATTGTTATGTGGTAGGGTGTAGCGCTTTTAAATTAGACATACCGAGTTATAGCTTATTAAACTAATATAGACAAAAAAATAATAAAAGAAAATAACTTTGTATAAACAATCAATGTCGCAAGATAAAATTACAAAAACAAAAAAGTCGGCAATTAAAGTCTAATAAAATATCTTGCTACGCAAATAGAACCAAGTCGGCTATAAAAAAAGAAAAAAAAACAACTATGGTATGCTCAGTTTAAAAAATTAGTTTGGACTTAAGCGTATTTGCTTTTATAAACCTCGTATGTATAATAATCTTATAATCAGTTTCAATTATTTGGAACAAAAACCTGTTTTACGATAATCGTTATATTCAAATCGTATAGTTTTTAATAAAACTATAACGAGAATTTGAATATATGTACATTTTGAAGGAGGACAGAAGAATGTATGGAATTGTGAAAGAGGTCAAAGAAGAAAGTAAATTCAGATAGGACAGCTGATAGTTTGGCGAAGAATATGTTATTCACAATATAATTGAAATTATAGCCTGTATATAATAATAATTGCAGGTGTTCGTTCATCTACGGCCACGAGGGTCGCCTGGAGAAGTTCACCCGTGACATGCAGGACCGGCTGGTGAAGCAGGTCATAGAGCCCATGGCCTGCGACGGGCTGCGGACCATCTCCGTCGCGTACAGGGACTTCGTGCCCGGCAAGGCCGACATCAACCAGGTAACTGGACAAATGGATGGATGGATGGATGGATGGATAAACTTATAATGGATAACAATTCTGTTTTAACGGTGGCATACAAATTAGCCATAAAAATACTTTTAAAAATGTATGACGGAGGTTTAAAGAATTTAATTTGGATTGAATTTGTTAACATTTACCAACATAGCAGATCTGTATCGGCTTAATAATATTATAAATGTAAAAGTTTAGATGTAAGGACGGATGTTTATTAGAATTATGTAAAATTAACTTCTGAATGGTTCTCGATGAGATGATTTTGTATAAATTAAGTGCATAGTCTGGAAATACACATAGGTCAGTTTTGTTATTTCTTTTATTCCACGCAGAGTCGCGGGCGAAAGCTAGTTAGTTTTTAATTAACTAGCTATTGCTCGCGACTTCGTCTTTTTTTTGAAATCTGCACAGAAGTTTTTAAGTGATTTCAATACATACAAAATCTTTATTAGAATATATGGTTTAAACAATTTAATTTGGATGGACGTTTGTTACCATAAAAAAATGAATCGAGTATTTATCAGAGTAATATTAATGTGAAACTTTGTATGGATGGATGTTTTAATATATTTGTCTGCGTAGGTGCACATAGACCAAGAGCCGAACTGGGACGACGAGGACAACATCGTGAACAACCTCACCTGTCTTTGTGTTGTTGGTATTGAAGATCCCGTCAGGCCAGAGGTATATACAAAATAATAATAAAATGTAAAACGCCTAGTCCTAAACTATCCGCAAACTTTTTACGTTTAAATGAAATTGAACTCTATTTGTTTTGAATAAAGTCTAAATAACAAAAAATGTCTTATGTCTCTGACAATAAAGTTGTAATTTCCAGGTACCGGAGGCTATCCGTAAGTGTCAGAAGGCGGGTATCACGGTGCGTATGGTGACGGGTGACAATGTAAACACGGCGCGGTCTATCGCCATCAAGTGCGGCATCCTCAAGCCAACTGATGACTTCCTCATCCTCGAGGGCAAGGAGTTCAACAAGAGGATCCGAGACGCTAACGGAGAGGTTTGTATCCGACTCGAAGGACCAAAAATAACAAAAACGATATAAGGAGATATTTTTTAAATCTATTCGTTATTTCAGCACATTATGATTATTTTTATTGGACTATGTCTGCAATGTTTACATGTAGAAAGATAGGTTACTTTTACTAGGCCTAGTTCCAAGATCGATATTTTTTTATCATTTGCTGTGTTACTGTCATAAATGTCGCTAAATATGAGTTAAGAGCTCCGCTAATTGTAGATTTAGTATACATGACTGTTTTCAAAATTTTTCAACGACTTTGAAATATTATGCACAAACGGTTTTCCGATGGTTTCACTTGGAACTATATGAAACAATCGGCAAAGCACAGATAATATATTGTATCGGAACGCATCTGTTATAATTGTCATCATGCTAGATCGCGTCCTTCTGTTTTGTCATCGTGTTACAGTTTGATACAATATTAGTATTACGTGTCCAGGTGCAGCAGAACCTGATCGACAAGGTGTGGCCGAAGCTGCGCGTGCTGGCGCGCTCCTCGCCCACCGACAAGTACACGCTGGTGAAGGGCATGATAGAGTCCAAGGCCTTCGACACGCGCGAGGTGGTCGCCGTCACCGGAGACGGTACCAACGACGGACCGGCGCTCAAAAAGGCTGATGTCGGCTTCGCTATGGTAATCTTCTTAAATATCTTCCATTCCTTCTTTACATTTTATCTCTTTGTCATTCCGTTACTCTGTTTCTATCTTTCTAGAAAGAAAGACAGAACTATAGATTGTCAGAAGAGAGACAGAACTATAGATTGTTAGAAGACAATCTATAGTTCTGTCTCTCTTCCTCTTTTTGTTTTTCCATTGTTGTCTCTCACTCTTTCTTTTTCCATTGTTATCTCTTTTCCTCTTTCTGTCATTACATGGTACTGTTTCTCTCCTTTCTTTCACTGTATCGTTCTATCCCTCCATCTTTTTTTCTTTCTTTCCCCCCCTATCTTCTCTTCTTTTTGTCTTGTCCCGCTTCATTGTGTCTCCTCGCTTTTTCTGCCTTCTTTGTCTCCTGTATTGGTTATTTTTTCTCTTAAGGTCTTCAAATGTTATAAATCTGTTTATTATAAATTAAACATAGTTTTATTATTAATTTCCAATAACATTATTATTTCAGGGTATCGCCGGTACGGATGTGGCGAAGGAGGCGTCAGACATAATCCTGACGGATGACAACTTCTCTTCAATCGTGAAGGCGGTGATGTGGGGCCGCAACGTGTACGACTCCATCGCCAAGTTCCTGCAGTTCCAGCTCACTGTCAACGTGGTGGCGGTTATTGTCGCCTTCATAGGCGCCTGCGCGATACAAGACAGCCCTCTAAAGGTAAACCCCACTGGGAAGCTTGGAACCTACCCTATAGTTAGGAGACTAGACTCTCCCCATTCCCGTGAAATTAAAAAAGCAAGCCTATGTGTCCTTACAGACTATATTCTACATCTATGTCAAATATAATCGAGATCCGTTTCGCCGTTTAGGCTACAAACTCTAACAAACATCCATCCATCTAAATTTTCGCATTTATAATATTAGTATGATTTATTTAAACTTTTACCTTCATGTTATGTTGATGTCATCAATTTAAAATGAATATAGAATGTAAATTACATCGTCAACCATTGAAATCTATGAATACAATTTCTTATTTCAATTGAATTCTACAATTAATAATTAATTTATATGGCCCTAAGTATCGCAATATTGCGATACTTAGGGCCTGTCCCACTAGTGGCTGATACAAGCTCAGATAGGTTAAAAATGACGTCACTGTCAGATCTCATATTTTACACGTATTGTTTTTACAATTTACAATCTAGTGGAACAGGGGCTTAATGTAATATTTTTAGGCGGTACAAATGTTGTGGGTGAACTTGATAATGGACACGCTGGCGTCGCTGGCGCTGGCCACGGAGATGCCGACGCCCGACCTGCTGCAGCGCAAGCCCTACGGCCGCACCAAGCCCCTCATCAGCCGCACCATGATGAAGAACATCCTCGGACAGGCCATCTACCAGCTCTTTATTATCTTCTCACTGCTATTTGTAGGTAAGTAACTACACAACAAAACAGCAACTATCTACAGAAAAACTAAGATACTAGGGGATTAAGCAAAATTCTAGATTTTACATTTTTATTACGTACTGGCTGCTGCTAACGACTTCGCCCGCGTGAAATTAAAAAAAAAATACAGCCTTTATTACTCACCTTTCTAATGGTGAAAGAATTTTTTAAAATAGCCGCGTAGTTATTATAAAACATACAAAAATACGAATTTTCCCTCTTTATAATATTAGAATAGACTAAGTAGCTTTTGCCCTTGTTTCCGTCTGCTCGAAATAAAAAAATATGTAGCTATTGTGTTCTTCCAGACTATATTCTACAACTGTGCCAAATATCATCGAGATGCTATAAGCCGTTTTAGAGATAGCTTGTAAAATCATGTGTAGCTTTTTTTTCTCCATAAATCCAAACTTTTTTTATAGTGTTAAAATAATGTTTTAATGTGACAGGTGACAGATTGCTAAACATCCCGTCTGGGCGCGGGCAGCCGCTCGGCTCGGAGCCGACGCAGCACTTCACCATCATCTTCAACACGTTTGTGATGATGACACTCTTCAATGAGATCAACGCGCGCAAGATACACGGACAGAGGAACGTATTCGAGGGACTCTTCACCAACCCAATCTTCTACTCGATATGGATCGGCACTGCCTTGTCTCAGGTAATTGAATGAATGAATGATTTTCGTGTCACGTTCCTCATGATGACTGATAAGACGACGCTCGAAATTACAAGACAAATGAATGATAAAATGCCTCTGCACTGCGTCTCAGGTAACTTAATGAATGACTTTCATGTTATGTTGCTCCTAATGACTTCAACAAGTTGACGTCCGCAAACTCAGGTAAAAGAAATCTCTTGCCTTGGAACTGCTCTGTCACAAACAACTGAATGAATGATTTCATGATATCATGACTTGAGACCAGGTAATCAATGAATGATTGAGTGAACAAACCAATGAGTGCTTATACACTATGAATTCATGTGATTCGCTCACACGTATGAATTTGATAAAGCAAAATTAGGAGAATTATTTAAAATAAACTGTTTGTTTTTGTAGATATTTCCTTCCAAACTACAATAAGACTTTTTTTTATAACATAAGGTGGCAAACGAGTATGCAGCCACCTGAATCCGCCAAAATGGCGAAGCGACCGCTGCCCATAGATAACCGCCATCGCAGATGCGTTGCCTACCCTTATCCGACGGAGGAGACGCACATAAAGAGGATATTGCCCCTTCCTATGCATCTCCTCCACCGTCAAATCCCCTTCCCCTTTCCATCCTCTTCTTATAAGAAAGGGGTGGTAAAGAGAAAGGGACTTAAATTAGGCCTCCGGCACCACACTCATCAGACGAAACACGGAATAGCTTCCATTTCACACCTGTCTTCTGTGTGGTCGTGGTATTACACCGGGCGTGCCCTGCAGTGCTAAGATATTAAAGCGGGCACTACCACTGTTAAAACATAGACTACATATACGTAGGTAATAAGATAAAAGGTAGCATGGTATACCCAATTTTACCTTGTTCTACCCGATGGTTCCAGGTGATAATAATCCAGTTCGGCGGCATGGCGTTCAGCACGGCGGGGCTCTCGATAGACCAGTGGCTGTGGTGCCTGTTCTTCGGCGCCGGCACCCTCGTGTGGGGCCAGCTCGTCACCACCGTGCCCACTAGGAAGATACCCAAGAAGCTCGCGTTAGTATACATATTGGTTTTAAAGATAACTACAATTAGATCTTGTGTTTTGTGCTCTATGGCTATTTTAATAGGCCACCAATATAATGTATTTAATGAGACAAAAGTTATGTGTTTTCCATAAAATATATAAATAATAAATAATGTAATACTAAACTCTATCAGTTTTGTAATTATAAAGTTTAAAAAAGTATACATAAAAATCTTAACTTAATTGTATACATAATTCAATTGTATACAAAAAAATATACATAACAGTCTTGACCCAATTGTATACAAATTATACATTACGTTCGTGACTCAATTGTATAGTTTATTGAAATGTATATCTGGTTGTATCCCAGTTGGGGCCGAGGCCAGCCGGACCCCGAGACGATCCAGCCGGGTCCGGACTACGACGCGGACCTGGACAAGAAGCCGCGCGCCGGACAGATCCTGTGGATACGCGGCCTCACGCGCCTGCAGACGCAGGTACGCAGCGACACGCGACACCCGCAGTGACGTCACGCGAATAGGCCGATTGCTGTTGTACCAATACTGATGTCTCTTTCCTTTTAATGAGAATAACAGGGATGGCAATATTTTTGTAGGAAACCCATAGTAATGTTTACGTTTTCTAAGATAGGTATCCCCAATGGTACCAAATTTTTTCATTTTTCGAAAGTATGAAAAATGCTCTTTGAGAGTGGAAATGAAAGTTAAAAAAACAGTATTTTTATGTACAATCGGCCTATTCGCTTTTGGGGTGGTTTTTATATTTTTTTGGGGGTCAATGTTCGCCTTAAAGGGGATCTATGTTGATTTTTTGTCCTCGTTCAATGGGAATTTGAAAATATATTTTAATGGGGAGATTTTAATTATATTTCAATATGAATTCTTGTGTACTGTAAATAATTGTTTTTGAATATTGGTTTTTTTATTTTTTTAAAGGTTTTGCCAAGTTTTGTAAACAATTCTTTACAGTATTTTAAATGACAGTGTCTTGCAATTTTACTTATGATTTGTTTTAATACTCAATACTTTGCAGAATACTGTCATTGTGTTTTGACATAGAAAAATCATGTATTTTATTACGCGGCTGTGAATCGAAGACTGAAAAGTAAATTTTACAAAAAACTACATAATTTTTCTACGGCATGTTTACTTTGATAAGGTTACTGCGAATTAAGATCGCACAAAAGTAAACTTACTAAAGTAAATGAAAAAAATAAAAATAAATAATTTTCATAATGAATTAATAATAAAAGCATATAGGAGTGGCAGAAATGTTCGTGTTTAAAGAGGGATAAGTTGAAAGTTCGCAGCATTGTAACTTTTTAATTAAAAAATAAATAAAAAAATCCAGCAAAATCAACAGGTCAACACTGCGGATACCTTGGGCATCCTCACGCTAAGTCGACGATATGACTCTATTAATATATTATATACTATTAATATATATTTACTTTATTTGCATACAAGCCGAATATAACTATTTTTAACTATGCATCCATATAGACCGTCATAGTATAGTCTACGCTAATACACAATCCTTTATTTATCGGTATAGCCGGATAGAAGAAAAAAAAGATTTTTTCAACGACACAGTATAAAAAATAGATATATCAAATCTTACCGTAAACTCTACGTTCATTATTTTTTATTTTATTTTTTGTTTCACTCTCCTTTTTTATTTTTATTTTCTTACGTCTCATAATTACTTTTCATTCTCCTATACTTCTGTTCTCATTCGATAATTATTATTTTCTATATATATACCTACACAGAGAAACACTACACAGTAAATTTAGTAGATACGCTACATTTCTTTGGCCCATTAACGTAGATTACAATAGAACGATTGTTAATTTTGTTATTTTTCAACTTAATTTGTGAAAAATAGTAATTTTTTTGACAAAATTGGCAATCGTACCTTGCTACACTAGTTTATGTTTTTTACTATTCTAAAAAAAATAATTTAATTTCAGCCTGGTTTCATGACATCCGCTCCTTTGACTCGTTTCTATTTCCTTGATATCTCCATCTCTTACTGTTCTTAAGCTATCGTATACTGTCTCGCTCTCTCCGGCTGTCATGGAACCGGGCCTGGTGTTACACTAGTTAGAACGCCTTGAAACATCGCGAGTAACGGCCGTGCATGCTCCGCAGAGAACCCAGTCTGACGCTTCCCTTTTTATTTTTAATTTGAATATTTGTTTTTTTTCTACCACAACCACCACCCTGTACCACGACCCCATTGGCATGCGATTTATGTAGGCTGTGACGATGTTACTTATCCCTCATGATATCCCTCAAACAGTTACTATGACTACGTCCCATATTAGTTTTATATCTACTCAACATTACAACATCGCGGTATGAATATGGCTGTCTCTTTCTCTCCTCTATCTTTTTTTTTCTCTTAGTCATACTGACTGTTTGATTTTTTTTTTTACTATTTTTTTGTCTGTTTTTTTTTAATTGTTTATTTTAAGAATAGTGTTTTTTTTGCTTGTGATACGCCAGCCCAATACATCCTCGTTACTGATCCAAAGCAACCCAAGCTCTTGTTGAATGAAACGCCGTATTCACAAACCTAAGGCGACGACTAACGCACGTTACCGATATCCCAAAAAACAAGTTGGCAGTAACATTTTTTAATTGGTATATGTTTTTAATATTATTTCAATGTATAATTTGTTTATGCCGAATTGTGTTCAAGTTACTGCCAAACGATACCGTTCATTTAGAGTGTGGAGTGGATATAGATTTAAAAAAAAATATAGAAAAATGTTGAATACACATTTTTTTTTCATTAGAGAGCATGCCGCGTATGCTCAACGTACTAACATATGTTTGAATTGTAACCGTCCTCAATCGAACGTCTTTTTTTCCTTTGCTGTTGTACTGTCAGTGTTTTTTGAGTGTTGTTTTTTTTGTTTTGTTTTTTATTTTTTGTTTGTTGTCCATGAATGTTGTTCGAACCGTACTTTTTGGGGGGAAGGGATGGGGGGGTGAAGTCAGACGGGTGTAAGCGTCAAACTGAACGATGGGGATTTGTCAATGTCAGTAGTTTGCCTTGCCTTGCCAATTGGAAAAATGCCTTTGCTGTTATTTTGCGTTATAGGCTTGATGTAGTTGTCCATAAAGTGTTTAAATGTATATAAATTAGCGACACGCGTAGGCGACGCCGCTATGTCTCGGTGAGTATCATGTGTAGAAACGTATTGAGGTTTTAGTTTTTTTTTAACTTTATAAAAAAAAGTGATTCCGTGTAGCTTTCTAATACACGTAAGACTTTACAATTGTGTCAAGTATTTTTAAATGGTTTTTATGTTTAAAATTATAATAATGGAAGTTTTTTTACTGATTTATTTTTTCACAATTGTAAATTGTCTTATAAAGAACCTTTTTAGGCCAAATGTCTGTACCTCCTTGGCTCCCGATAAATGTTTAACAAACCTATAACAAGGCATGGTAGTTTAAATACCTGTTAATATCACATGTACTAAAACGACGAGATAAAATGCGTGCCGCCACATACAGGCATATGGAATTTGATATTAGATCGAAATTTAAAACATGCTGTATAAACAAAAAACTAAAAAACCCATCAATAAACGTGTGAGACGCTAAAAGCCATTTAGTGGCGCATTAGGTGTTCCCCGGTGAAGAAGCGCTAGTGCTAGTGAACCCATTGACCCCACTGAACCTCCTAGGTGTCCTCCCTGCGTTGTCTAGGCGTAGTCTAGAAGCTGAACTACAGGGTGTAGCTAAGGCCTCGATTCGACTCCCATTTTCAGTTTTCAATATCAGATTCTTTCGTTTCATTTTTTTTCTTTTTGGTTTGATCGTTTCTCATTTGTTTGGGCACCTCCGAGTCATATTCGTATCACGTGACACCGGCCGCAAGATGGCCGCATACAGTATACACCAAACACTGTTCCGTTTTTAAATTTTGTTTTTTTTCTTTCTCTAATTTTGTTCTTGTGTTACGAAAAAGGTTCCACTCTTTCCGTGTTGGCCTGCTTTCAGACGACAGATATGGGGATGTAGTTTGAACTGGGTATTTTAAATGTAAATGAGATTACGTTTTATTCGCTTGGATGTTGAATATTTTTAATGGGTAATTTAAAAAATAAGCGGTAAAAAACATCTGATTTTGAACTAAAGTTTAAATAAAAAGAAACTTAAAAAAAATATATTAACTCTTTATTTTTAAAAGACTAGCAATGTCAGCCAGTAATTTTTCAAAGAAAAATTAAATTATAAAGTAAAATTATTTAACACATTTCACAATAGTTTAAAACATGCTGTGAAATGATTTTCATTCTTTTGTAAGATTTTATGAACAAGTGAATTTTTATTTTTCTGGCACATGTCAGGCGAATAAAGCGTACTTAGAATAGAAGTGTAGAATCGGTAAAGAACCCCCATATCTGGTTGTGGAGCAAGTTGTAAAGCTAGGGCTGCGCACGTAGGAGGGTGTCGAATGGGGCGAGCCGCGCGTCGTTGAGAGATGTTGTTGGCAGCCCCGGCCGGTGCTGGAGACCGAGGTGTAGTGGCGGGCGCGGCGGCTGGCGGCGCGCTGCGCACGACGGACGCTCACGGTACACCCCTAGCGCGTAGCTCGCGGCCGGCCCACGCTCCCTCCGTCACACCTCACTGACAGACATGACACAATGACTTTGACAGTTGAATCACGAAATGCCTTAAAAGTCATCAATGAAATTTGCAAGATGACCTTGTGTTTTTAGTAGTTTTGTCTAAGCATTTTGTAACTCTCACAATTTTTCTTACTTGTAATTTAAAAAAAATGTTTTTGTCATCAAAGACACACCGACTGACCGAACCGAACCGTTGTAAAGCGGTGTAAACCTGTGAGCCGGTGTCGTGGGCTGGCCGCGATAGTTTTCAATAGTTCTGTCCCCGTCTGTGCTGCATCCCACGTCTGCCCCGGTAGACTCGCTGTCCCTCATCTGGCACCGTCCGCCCGCACCGCCCGGGCACGAGCACCGCCCTCCCCATCGACCCATCGCCCCGCTTTGTGACGTCATCAGACCTTCCGCTCGGAGGCGTCGGCGCGTCGCCCCAGTACCAGCTGTCGCTAGCACCTA